TACAAAACACCGTATATAAGATTCTATCGAACACTCTACTAAACCGATTAAGACCATAAGCAAATAACATCATAGGAGAATATCAGAATGGATTCATGTCAGGCAGATCAACATTAGACCATATTTTCACGCTTAAACAAGTAATAGAAAAATACTATGAGTTCAACAGACCTTTACATTTAATCTTTATAGATTTTAAACAAGCATATGACTCCGTACAAAGAGCAGAAAAATAGAAATGCTTAAAGCTGTTAGGAGTCCCATCAAAACTAATATCGTTAATAAGAGTGAGTACGGAAGGTTCAAGATGCGTAGTCAAATTTGGTCACGAGAAATCAGAAGAATTCCAAACAACAACAGGATTAAAACAAGGTGATGCGCTGTCACCAATACTATTTTACATAGTACTAGAGATGGCAGTAAGGGAAGTACAAGAAGAATATCAAGGAATTAATTGCGGTCGAAACCTTCCATTACTAGCATATGCCGATGACGTGGTAATATTAGGCTAAAGTGAGCAGGATATTCAAAAATCAACGGAATTACTGATACAAAGTGCTAAAAAACGGGGACTCAACATTAACGAGACTAAAACAAAATACATGCGAATAGGTAGGAACAAAGATCAGATGCAAAATGCAGCTGGATTACAGGTCGGAGTATATATGTTTGAGGAGGTAGATAATTTTAAATATTTAGGCACTAACTTAAGTAGCACAAACGACAACCACGAAGAAATAAAAAAACGCATGGCATCAGGAAACAAATGTTTTTACGCCCTCTCGGGGTTGCTGGGGTCGAAGTTACTGTCGAAAAAATCAAAAGAACGACTTTACATGGTACTAGCTAGACCAGTGATAATGTATGCATGTGAAACATGGCCTATGACCCAAGGAGATGAGAATAGATTAGCTATCATGGAGAGGAAAGTCCTTAGGAGGATTTATGGACCAAAAAGAAACGAAGACCAAACATATAAAATTAGGACTAACAGAGAACTGCAGGAATTATTCGGAAAACCAGACATAATAGCGGAAATACACCACAAGAGACTGAGTTGGCTTGGACATGTACTAAGGGCTAAGTCAATATCAAATGCGGTATTAAGATGGATTCCTAAAGGAAGGAGGCCAATTGGAAGACCGAAACAGAGATGGATGGACAAAAATAAAAAAGAACTAAATCAACTTGGGATAAACAATATTACTGAAGCGGCTATGAACAGAGACAGATGGAAGGAGATTTGTTTTGCAGCAATGGGCTTAATGGCCTTTAAAGCTGGAAGAAGAAGAAGAAGTAGATGTATTACACATGAATCATTTAAGTATATTATACTTATGGCGTACTATAAGTATCTACGATAACGTCTCCTAGTTATATGAAATGATTAAAGTAGACTTAGTAGCAATTGTCTTACTATATGTATACCTATATACACATTATTGAGTACGAACAGTATATACCTTACGACA